TACTTTAGACTCAGGTTCGTACGGCGAAATTTTTTTGCTTACTTGTGAGGTGGTATGGACTAGTATATATTTATATATACATATATATGTATCTAAGTACATACATATGTAGAATAAACCTGCCGGATTTAAAAAGAAATTTCATGAAGGAAGTATGACAAGTGTTTTATAAAAATATATATGTATCTGCATACATACACGTACCTACATACATACATAGGTATGTATGTAAATATATACGTGTGCATATAAACGTGCAAATAAATATGTAAGTGCACAATGAAATTGAAATTTAACGTGACAATATTGTGCATTAATGTATTTACTTTTTAAAAGGCTTAGTAGAGTATACTATTTTTAGCTCAAATAAATTAAACCTTTCTGGTTTAAGAATTGTATATGTATGTACATTCCGTTGTTTTCTCTATGTTATGCATTTCAGTTTAGCAAAAATAATGTTAAATTAATTTAGAAAACTGGAAAAAATAATTTTTAGGTAATAAATTACGCTTATAAATACGATTCGCCATGTTCTCCCTATTTGGAACTACAACTGTTTTCTCGCCTGGATCTATAAAGAAAAAAATCGCTAATTGCCTTTCTCCTTAGCGAAGGTACGCCAGTTTCCCACGCCAAGCTTAGACAGATCTTTTTGTCCAAGTCATTATGAAGCTCATAGAATTCGTAACGCCATCTCTCTTCTATCGAAAGCTACGAACGCCTTCTAATATTTGATCAGAGCCTCCTATGTCCAAATAGTCACATTCGTTGTTATAAAACATTGTTAAATTTAAAAGAACTATTAAAAAGGGAATGCACTTGAGCCTGTACACGGAAGTAAAAGATCCTCCGACAAAATTCCAGTTAGTTTTATATTGCAAACATTTTTATTACACTTAATAAATATTTACATATTCAACTTCATATTCCTTCGTATTCGACTTCATATTCCTCCTGGTCTTTGCATTCGCCTTCGTATTCATATTTGTATTCATCTTCTTCTTCTGCTCCATTTTCGCTTTCGTATTCGGCTTTGCAGTCTTTTTCGTTTGTGACTTCGTTTTCTCTTTCGTATTCATATTAATCTCCATCTCCATCTCCATCTTCGACTTCGTATTCGTTTTCGTCTACAGTTTTGCATTCATAGTCGTATTTGTCTTCGTTTTCACCTTCGCTTTCGCCTTCGCCTTCGTCTTCCTATTCCTATTTATATTCTTCTTCGTCTTTGTTTTCGTATTCGTCTTTATCTTGAGTCTTCGTCTTCGTCTAACTTTAAAGCGATAGTTCATTCTAAATGGCAATGTAGGCTAGGGCTGTCACAAGCCTGAACCCATCGACCAGGACACTTATTATCCAAATCAAAGACGAAGATACAAGTGAGTATGGTACCCTAATATTCCTTATAAGTACAGTTGCTTTGGTTCTGGCATTTCATTATTCTGAAATAATTTCAAGCTTTATAGTTTCCGTAGAACTGAATGATTATTGATGAAGTTGTGATTTTATAAAACGCTCAAAATTTAATTTTTTTAAACATAAAAGCAGAAATTTCTTTTGACTGTTATGCAACTTGGAAAAATGTTTTGTCGCCTTTAACCTAATCTTGAATGCTTGCCTTACAACCATTACCAAATTTCCACATATTCTACAATGCGCTTCTTGATCATTTCTGCTATTTTGTATATGCAAAACTAGAAGATTTAGGTAGGCTATCTTTAGTGAAACCGCTCTAAAGGACTTACCCAATAAGGGCTGAAAAAGTACCTTACATAATTATGATTTTTTATGAAATAAAACAGTTTTAAAAAAACTACTCCAAAAGGCTTTCTAAAGAGCGTATTACAAAAGCGAAATCAGAAGCCCTTCAGTTTGTGCCACTCCATACAAAAAAGAAAAGGGAAAGGAATGACTTTCAGAAAGGCCTTTTGGGAGAGATTTTAGCTCCCGAAATTATCAATCGGGTAGTGTGTATCTCCCCTCAGCTGTGTACCTGTCCAGGAACTTGCATTTATTTGGCATTTGCCTGAAAATAAAAAAGTAAGATTTTCGGGTTTCGATTACTAATAACAGAGAGCTTAACCTTTTTATAGCAAAAATCTGCAAAAACTAAAAGGGCGTCTGCATTGACCTTCATTAAAAAAAACAGGATATTTTAAGTGTGAATCAGGACAAATTATGGAAAACCAGGACGTCTGGCAGCCCTAATGTAGGCACAAACAGAGAGAGGGAAAATGGCGCAAATGTCACAATTTCGTGAAGATTTTTTAGCTACATAACTATTGCATTTAAAGAAGCTTAACTTCAATACTCAGTTTTCGTCTGTGGCTTTAAAAATATGGGGGTACCTTGTGTAATGCCTAATTTGCACTAGGCATTGAAATGCCAAAAAAAAGCAGTGTGAAAACAGACATAATGACTAATTTTATGAACGTAATGGTATGGAAATTATTTAATGCCTAACATTGTCATTAAAAATGTTTTCATTTAATGTCTAGTGGAAATTAAATAAAATTTTCGAGGATTTCGTTTCTCCTACATATCTACTAATTTCATTTTATTAATTTATTATAAGTACATGAGAAGTCATATGTAACAGCAATATTCGAATTTATTTCAATCTTGCTAATAAAAATCGATTTTTAAATTATCTCTTTCACATTTAAAGCAAAAGATTAATAAGAATTTTTGCACGTGTACTGTGTGTGACACTGTAATTGCCAGTAATTATACCGGTGACATTGTATTACAAACACACATGTTATCACGCCTCAGTGCATTTAGCGATTTCGCGTTTGTCCACATTTTGCTTTAATATTCATTTTGGGGCATAAATTAAAGTGGTTTAAACTTGTTTTTGCGATATTCGATATGTATGCTTTCGTAATTTTTCCATTTCGATATAAAAAACGTATGTATTTATAAAGTTTTATTACTTACAAACTTTGGAATAAAGAGTTGTACTGCAGCGTGCTATAATACTTCCCAAAATAAAAAATTTGCAGTAATGGAGCTCAATTGTAGGAAATCTGCGCTTTTAGTTTTTTTTAACCGACTTCCAAAAAAGGAGGAGGTTATCAGTTCGTCGGAATATTTTTTTAATTTTTTTTTTTATGTGTGTTACCGCATAACTTTGGACCACGTCAACCGATAATTCTTTTTGCAACGTAAAGGTAGTGTCTCAGAGTTGGTCCCGTACTTATTTGGTTTAGATCCGATCATTGAATCATGAAATATATAGATATATATATATATTTTTTAAGTCGGTTTTTTTTTGCTAAAAATTACTTGTTTATTAATGTCGTAGTAATGTCGTCTTAGGTCATAGTACGGGAAGTTCAAAGGCTCCAAAGGTTCAAAGGTTCCTTTGACCACCGCCCAGCGAACCACGTCTGTTGATATTTCTGTGGATGGACACAGGGAGATATTGACTCACAGTGGCAAACACGGAGCTACAAGTGAAACAAAGATGTTGAAGCTCGAGATATCTCCTAACAAGTTAGGAAGATAAATTGGGCATCATCGGACCTAGCGGATGTGTTGGAAGCAAACAGAATGCTTATGACTGAACTGAGAGATGCACTTATTACGAAGCTGGTAAGAAAAAATGCAACGGTTAAGTTATTGTACGAGCGCACTTGATTTCGATTCGCTTATCCATTACTTAAAACTAGGAGTGCCAGTTACAGTCGAAATTCCACCGTTTTTTCAGTTTTTTAAGACCCTTGGAGCTGTTTTATAACTTGTCACGTCGTTTATCTTATGGAAACAAAATGACTTACCCGAAAGTCTCCTGATTTGGAACTAAAACGTGACTACAATTTTTCTTAGTACCTTTGAAGGTCTTTGGAGGACCTTGGCTGGATTTGGAATTGACCAGATACATTCCAGTTTGTCGATAAACCGCTAAAATCCGATAACTCAACAAAATCTGATAACCAATTTCGATAAATTTCATTAATTGTGAGTCTCAAGGGCTCGATTAATTTCGATAACACAAAAATGGAAATACATCTCGATATAAATCGATAACTCGATAAGCTTTGGATACGGTATAAACTTCGATAACTCATTTAATTTTGATAACTCTATATTTTTCGAGAGCTATAGGCAAATTTCGCTTACTCGTTACACTCTGGTAACACGACAAAATTCGATAATGACTCGATAAACTTATATAAACTTGAAATTTCGATAGCTCAATATATTAAGAAAATGAAAAAACTTCGATTCGACAAATCGATAAATTTCAGTAAATCAATAAATATCGATAATTCTCGATAAATTTCGTTTTACTCTATAAATAACGAAAATTCAATTAATATGCATAACTTGATAAATTTCATTAACTTGACAAGTTTCGATAATCCCGTAAATTTTTATAGCTCGATAACTATACGTCAATTTCGACAACTAAGTTTCTGTGCCTATAAATTTCGACAACTCAATAAACATTGATTAATTTGAATAACTCGATTACTCAATAAACATGGATAACTATAAAGTTCGATGATTCGATAAATTTCGGTAACTTGATAACTTTCGATAACAAAATTTGTTATGACTGAATTTATTTGGAATCCTATCGAAAAATTTCATTAACTCTTCTTACCTTTTCAGTTACTTTATTTTCCACTGTTTTCATTTTCGCGTTTATCTTCAATTTTGCCTTAATTTTTTTGTCTTAATTCTTTTTATCAGTTATTTCTTCATCCTCACATTTATCTTTATTACAAAATTAAATTTCAAAACGAAGTATAGAAAAATGCGAAAACAACTCAAATTGAACAGGTTGCAACAACAACTATGCACAAATACGGAAATTTTTAAACGACGATTTTGTCCGTAATTTTCAGCCAACTGTGAAACCCTAAAAACTCTCCTACAAAAACATCTACACAAAAATACCTTTCCAATGTGTTCTCGGTTTGGAAATTGGTTCGGTACAACCGCCAAACGAAGGCGGAAAAATTTTATGTTTCAAATTCTCATTTCCCACTCACCTCGAATGAAATTGTGCCACCTGTGCCATATTTTTGAAAAATATGCGCCAAGTAACGATTATATTCAGTTGCTGCATGCGAAAACTGCAACTTTCCACAGAGAAAGCAAACAAAAATGACTAAGCAGATTTGCGCACGCGTAGACGAAGACATTTTTGGTTATAGTCAAAACACTTGATGGAGCAGAAAATCACTACGATTTCCAAACAAAAGCTGGGCTTAAACAAAAGTACTTTTGCGGCAAATAGGAAAGTGATAATTTATAAAACAACACAAACAAAAATCTGTATAAACAGCAGTATGTATTTACTTTACACTTTTCACTTTGCTCTAAATGTAGTTAAAATAAAGTTTTTGGCGTTTACTACATATACACTACTATTCACTTTAACATAGGGCAAGTTCAAGTTTTCTTATAATATTTGGCAGAAGCACTTGAGTAAACTCAAATTCGCAGCGTCACTTATTCGTTTCTTTTATTTATTTCTTAAATATCGTTTTTTCGATTATAAATTTTCTAAATTTCCTCGTACTAAAATTCTAACTTTTTTTCTAGTCATTCGCAATATTCGTTTTGCGTTTTAGACACAAAAAGTGCCAGCAGCTCGCCGATTAACCGAAAATGTTTCGCTTTTTAATTAAATTATGAATTTTTGCGACTGTTTATGGCGCTCTTCGCCTTTTTTGACAATAAATAAATGCTGTGCTGCGCTTAATTTTAATTCAGCCCCACAATGCTTGGATTTGATCGCACGCTAGACTCTATCACCATTACTGTCATTTATTTGTTGCTGTTATTTGTATTTTTGTATTTATATTTTTTTTTTGTTATCGAGATCAACACACTTTACTTAAGTATTCGCTTACTTTACGCGCGCGCCAGCTTCGTTGCTCCGCTTTACCGTTGAACGGTTGACGGACTATTAAACGCTATTCACCTCAAAACGCCGTATTTTAATCCAGTAGCGAGTTAATTTACCGATCGGCGCTCAACTACAAACACTTGTACAACCATACATATTTACATATATATATACATGTGTGATCGCTTCTCGAAGTAACGAGTTGCTGCTTGCTTGTGCTTTCATTAGAGGCTGTGTGTGGGAGGAAGTAGTAGAGTGGAGGTGGAATGCCTCTGCATACCGTTAGCCTTTGCTTTCAGTGCTGAGAGAAAGCTTAGTTGCAAGTATGTAGTAATAATTCTTAAATATTTATTTAGTAAGCTTTAGAGAGCGTAGCGCATGCCTCGTCGTTGTTATCTGGGGCGTATGAGCAACTTTTGGTTATTTGTGAAAGGATTATGGGCTAATAAAAAGTTGATAAGTACATACATACTTACTTACATATGGATGTACATAGTACATATACTTCATTAAGATTTATATTTCATCTTAAGTTATCTCAGATTGAGTTCCAATGAATTGCTCGTCACATTCTTTAAACTTAAATACAAAAAAAGATATTATAAAATAATAGCTCTTTTCGATTCGCCAATCATAGAGCAAGTAGCAAATCCTTTGAATCCGAAGCATTAATTTAAACAACCCTTAACGAGTCAAGCAACTATGACCGAACGCGCTTGTGTTGATCTGTGTTCTCTAATCTGATTCTTCTTTCATCAAACAAATTTTTCGTTAGACCGATATACTGTAAAGTAAAGTGGCCCGAGCGGTCGTCTGGCGCGCTTGTGTTTAGAGGGCGCCGCACAGTGGAAGGTCCCCACTGGTCGAGAAACATTAAAAATGGCATAGAATGGAAAATTGCCACGCCTACTACACCAGAGCATGAAAAATAAAAATTTTATCCTTCTTCTTCTTGATTACCGCTATAACCGCATAAGCGATTTTGGCCGAGTGCGAAATAGCACGCCAGTCATTTCTCTTCTGCGCCAACTGACGCCAATTGGAAATGCCAATTGAAGCCAAGTACTTCTCCATCTGGGGGAGGCCTTTCTCTTCCTCTGTTACCAGCGTCGCGACCCGCGTTTAATACTTTCAGAGGAGGCATGGCCAAGCCAGCGGAGCCGCGGAATTTTAGTTCGCTGCACTATGATAATATCGTTGTACATAAAGCTCATACAGCTCATCGTTAAATCTTCTGCGGTATTAGCCATCGCCAACGCGTCAACGCCCTTAAATCTTTCGCAGATGTTTTCATAAACTTTTAAGGTATGCAGTTTTATAGCCTCATAAATTTAGGTATAACAAAGTTCATCTTTGAAGCGGCTAGGAATTGGCGTCGATTTTTAATAAAATTTTTTGCAGACGGTGTTGTGCATTTTCCATATAAAAAAAATTTCACTCACTGGATTTTTTTTGTAATTCAAACATGCACTTTTTTATACTAAAATTTATGGGGCTATAAAACTGCATACCTTAAAAGTATATGAAAAACCTGAGTAAACAGTTAAAATTTTTATATTGGTTAATGTATGTCCTTTGGTTAAATAAAAGTGTGGACTCTCCAAATATTAGTGATTTTCTTATTAATTTCTTAATACTTCAATAACACTGGACCACAAATTTCAACTTTTTCTCTTTACCAGAAACGCCGTTATGAAATTCTTATGTAAAACCACCCCCCTGATTCCGAAAATCAAGGTTATTTTTAATTCTATGGTACCGTTTTTGAGATATTTGCAATTTACCGTTTTTGCAAAAAAAAAAAAAATTGGGTCCACTTTATCATATATATCTCAAGAACGAATTAAGCAATTCCAAAACGGTTTGAAGCTTTTAAAAGGTAATAAAATTTTCTATAAACTTTGCATACAACACTTTTTGCTAGGCCCTGTAGATTCAAAGATAACGAACAATCATTACCGATTTTTTCAATTTTTTTTGTAAAAATATAAAAAAAAATTGTACTTTGCGGGGAAGGATCTCGAAAACCTTTTATTTTTTTGCAGATTTTTTTTTCTCCCTAAGCTCTGTTGTATTACAAAAAAAATAAGCTATCATCGAAGAAAATCGATGCAAAACTACGTAAGTTATAAGCGATCAAATAAAAATACCCAGGTTGCGCAACTTCAATGTATGTACCTATACATACATACATATATTAAAGGTATAAAGTGCAAGTGAGATATTATCCGGATAAACGAATAACACCATAACAATGATAACACTTTTTCTTTAAATAAATCAAATAGTACTTTTAATACTCGAATTGTATTATAGTAGGTAGAGTGGTTGCATCGAAAGGAAGAGTGGTTGGGTTCGAAACCTGCTGTAGGCATGTAGTTATAAACATGTATTTCCGTCAGTTATGGGTAAGTATGCAGGTAGATTTTCAAAATTATAAGACACAGAAAATTTCTAAAGCCTACATCTAAAACAGGTAGTATTTTCTTTTCCCGGCTTGTTATAAAAAGTAACCTTTCTGTCTAGGTAAGATTTGATTTTTTCAATTTTATTCTTGTTCCGAGTATAAATATGAGTTAATGCGCTTTGAAACTTCATAACATCTTCAAGGCTCGCCGGAGATAGTTCAGTTCATAAGTCTAATTTCAAAACCGTGATTTATTAAAAAAAATAAAATGAGTAAAAGGAAGCGAGAATTTGAGTGTAATAAGGATCCAGATATGTTCTGTTTCATGTGTGGCCAATATACTATCATAAGGCGACGACGAGTGTTCTCAGATCATATCAAAACTTTATACTCCAAGTATTTTGGAATTGAGCCTAAAAATGCTGAAAAACCATGGACACCGAACACTTTGTGTACATCGTGTCGAGTAGAATTGATTCAGTGGGAATCAGGACAACAAACAAAATTTGATACACCAATGATATGGAGAGAACCTACTTGCCATTCAATAGAGTGTTATATTTGTCAAACAAAAGTACTTGGCGTTGGAAGATCAAGAGGAGTAACCTATGCTAGCGTACCTACAGTGACATTACCAATCAAATTAAGATAAAGATTGTTAGAATATAGTATAAACATAAATAAATTAAAAAAAAAAGTTAAAAATATGGGTAATTTCATTCATAAATTGAACTTTTAACTCAATAGAAACAGAGAATAGCTAGATATTTCACTCTTCTTTATACCATACATACGTTTTGAGGTATACGTTGAAATTGCGCAACCTGGGTATTTTTATTTGATCGCTTATAACTTACGTAGTTTTGCATCGATTTTCTTCGATGATAGCTTATTTTTTTTGTAATACAACAGAGCTTAGGGAGAAAAAAAAAATCTGCAAAAAAATAAAAGGTTTTCGAGATCCTTCCCCGCAAATTACAATTTCTTTTATATTTTTACAAAAAAAATTGAAAAAATCGGTAATGATTGTTCGTTATCTTTGAATCTACAGGGCCTAGCAAAAAGTGTTGTATGCACAGCTTATAGAAAATTTTATTACCTTTTAAAAGCTTCAAACCGTTTTGGAATTGCTTTATTCGTTCTTGAGATATATATGATTAAGTGGACCCAATTTTTTTTTTTTTGCAAAAACGGTAAATTGCAAATATCTCAAAAACGGTACCATAAAATTAAAAATAACCTTGATTTTCGGAATCAGGGGGTGATTTTACATAAGAATTTCATAACGGCGTCTCTGGTAAATTTTGGCCGTCGACCAGTGTAATTTACTGGTAAATAATCCTTACCTTAATTTGAAAGAAGAAAAACGCATTATGCTTATATGGCCAAGGCTTTAGATATGAGCATTTCTATGCAAAAAAATAAAAACAGTTTATTCCCAACTAAAACTGGAAAATAATGTTCAAACGCTTGAGAAAATCTTATTTCTCAATTTGATTTCCAGCATTGTTTATAATTTGAAACTAAACAATTACTCAAAATTTTCTCAAACATTGTTTATCAACTTAAGAACGATTTGAGAAGTATTTGAAAAAAAAAAAAATTTTGTAGCATTTCGTTCCGTTCCATCTTTGTCAACATGCACAGTCTATCGGTAGTCTGCTAGATCAGTCGAAAAATGGATCCTCGACCACGCGGTCGCTGTTATTCGCAATTTGTTTGTCGGAAAATCGCTTCTCATTTGAGTGAATTGAAATGCATTGAATTTATTGTTTTGTGTGAAATTTTTTTCATAATATCATTTTGTGATTTATCGTTTTGTGGCTGATCTGCCGATATGACCTACTGACAGGTCATTAAAATTTACTAACGAAAGAAAAAAATAGTCTGCTGCACCCAGAAAAAGGTTTAGTTATAATAACCAAGATTTGGTTATAGTGATCAAGTGGCATAGTTGGATATGGCGAAATAAATATATAGTTCACGAAAGTCTGCAATTTACTTAAGACTTCTAGTTGGGACAAATGTATATTTGTTAATAATTACAAAACGACTACCTTGATTGGACAATATTGTTAGTTGAATAAAATCATTGTTGAGAAAATATAAACAATGCTTTGGTTGATACAAGTTTTCAATTAATTTTGTGAACTTGCTGTAGACTTGAATCAGCTAACCGTTTATTATTAGGAAAAAAGTTTCAGTTTGACACAAATAAAAATTTACTCGATGTTTGTTGTGTTTACTTTCTTCTTTTATTTGCATATATTAAGCATAAAAATACGTACATATTTACATAAGTTAGTTACTAAAGTAAATAATACATATGTATATGTTGGTAAGAATTTCCTAAAAAACAACGATGAAACAGGAACAGTCGTGCGAAAACCCAGGTCAATATCTGCTGGAAGTATACTGCTTTGCTTTTTCCTTAGCTAAATAGACACTTTCAAATTATAATTCACATGAATTATATATCCACTGAAAAACCCCGGTTGGCATCAAACTTTATATTTTTAATTAAACTTTAAACTATGCGCGCACCGAAACAACTCGCGATGATAGCAAAACTGAAACTGAAAAACAAGTATGGGCATGTCATAGCACACATGGCGCAGCGATCGACATGCCATAGCTTACTGAGCGCTCTGGGGCCACATGCGTGTTTCACCCATATACGAAAGCGGTAGCGGAGCAATGATTTCCACGCACAATGCAATGGTCGGCATACTAGCGCATTCAAACGATTCAATAAGTGGGACTGTGTGCATTGCTCAGCTGGCGCTCTTCGTATGTGCTCAGAGAGCGCTCAGCATTCTTTAGGGGTGGCTCACAAGCATGAATATGTTCCACTCTCAAAACAAATCGTGGTTGCCTCAACTAAGATTTGGTAACTATGACTAAACCACGTGTTGAAAGAAAGCTTATCTGCATTAGCAGAGCTTAATAACATCCTTTTATGAACCATACGTTAAGTTGAATGGAATTTGTAGAAATATGCTTCAAAGAAATATTTATTAGTATTAACCAAACCCTTCAACTAAATTAACGATTTGTTACAACCTAGATGAATATTAGAAGCTTTAATATATTTAGTTATAATTACCAATCGATGGTAATAGTTTCCAACCCTTGGTAACAGTTCCCAAATATTGTCAAAATTCGGGAACTAAATATCTTTAGTTCTCGAAACTAATCCTTTTTCTCAGTGTGCATCGATAGTGACCAACAATTTGTCTGCCTGAAACGAAAAATTTGTATGTTAAAAACAATTATTTATGTGTATGTATAATAAAAGGGCTTATGCTTTTGAAAATGCCATACATTAAAATGAAACAATATTTTAACATTTTTGTGGGGAAAAGTTCACAATCAGGCCGATTTCCTGGGAGTTTTGTTTCTTTTCCCTTTCTTCCTATCATGAATAAAAATTCTCTGGGGATTTTTTATATTGAATTGCGGAGTTGAGCTGTCAAAAAATTGTCAAACAGCTCTTTTGAAGTTCGAATTTCCTCCTCCCGAACTTCCTGGGAGTTAACTATTGGAGGATTTCTTTCTCGGGAGAAACCAATTCCCGGAGAACAAAAACCCTGGGAGTATTCATAATTGCGCTGTATATGTAAATCCCGAATCGGAGAAAAATGCGGAAATTTTTTCCCAATACATGCATTTTTTAAGAGTTAGTGACAGCTTTTTGACATAAGTTTCAATAGAATATCTGGAAAAAAAGCCAGAAGCTGTCAAAAAAGTCGACTTTATTTCGACTGTGAAGCAGTACTATACAGATATATCAATTAGAATAACTAGATTTCATTTCGTTCCGCTCCGTTCACATTTGAGAATACGTTGAGAATTCAATATCTATTTCTCAATGTGAAAATAAAGAAAAATGCCATATTACTGCCATCCCTAAATTGGCGCGTCAAGTGCCAAGGAACTGTCAAAAATCCTCATACCTATACAAATTTGTATGAAGCCTCACAAAATAACGCGGCGTTAGCGCCGAGCAAATGGCATTTTTATTTTTTGACAGGGCGTTACGTGTTGAAGTTGGATGCAGAAGACGGAATGAAAGAGAGAGGACAAAAGTGAAAGAGGAAATGAGAATAAAAACTTAAGGAAATGACAAAACTTCAAAATTTACACCGCGTTGACTTGGGTATAAGAAGCGCGCGCTGGCATTCGTTGGCATTGGAAAACGCAACGCTTAGCGCTTAAATTTAGGGACGGCAGTTAAAAATTAGCCTTTTTGGTTTGAGAACACTATCAACGGTTATTTGAGATTCATCAGATAACTAACGTATGAGATTTGAGAAAAGGACTGATTCTCAAATGTATCTAAAATTGAGATTTAACAAAAATGTTTATTCAGATTATATGTATATCTTGTTTGTGTATGTATGTATAAATATCAACTTTATTCAATTAATAAACTTCATAACTTGAGTTGCAGAATTGTTCATATAACAAACAAGCTTTTGTGTATAAGTATATTATTAAATTCATAATATTTTAACAAATATTTCTTTGTCATTTACTTATGGCTAAAAAATATGCTTTTGTCATAACTTAATAATATACAATATTCAAAAGTTTTGTTTTATAAAACTTTCTTAATATATGTAATATTTCTTAAATTTATTATTATTTATTAACATTATATTATTATATTTTACGTGTTAAAGTTAAAGTTTTTTCGTACAATTTTCTCTTATAATATTGATCTTTTACAATTAAAGTGTATAACTACGTACACTATTTCGATATTGTTTTATTAAACATCTGGTTTTTTGTCGTAGATAACAAAGATTCATTCCTTCTTTTTTTTATTTGTCTTTTTAATCAATTCGTTGTCCGCTTATACATATGTATTTATTTAGAACATACAATAGCCTGTTTTATTATTCAGTTTAACTAAAAACTGTTCATTTTCGAACTTAATAGCAGTATTTACAATACAACTATAGTACATACGTATTATAATTTGTTGATATGCATAGTAAACTAACGCAAATATAATCGAAATTTAATTGCTAAAATGAAAAGGATAAGTCATGCAGGTTGTGATTTAGAGTTTATCACTACAACTCCGTAGGGATTTCAGTATAAAACAAACGATGGCTTACTTTGTGTGTTAGGTCGGATTAGCTTAGGATAAGTTTGACAATCGCACTGGTACATATTGGAGCCTCTACAGGGTAATCCGGCTTACTTACGTATGTACATACCTACAGACATACGGTGGCGAGAATGTAAATAGGGAAGAGAAATTGTGGTAAGTTTAGGCTATTTTTCTTTGTTAAAAAATACTAATTTTTTGTTTAATGAAATTAAAGCTTACTATCTTAAAAAAGTCCATGTAAATCGAATTTTCAAAATTTGTGGAACATGTAAAAAAATTCGACGAATTTTAACAAATGTTCATAAAAATTTGAAACTTTTTAATCAGATTTTTTAGAATGCAGTTTTCTAGGCCAATAAATACTAGTTGGTATAATAAAGTGCAAGTTTGAAGTAGCTAGGGCTTACCGTTGATTTTTTGTGTTCACGCGAATTCTTCCATACACAGTATGTTAGACAATTTGTTTGTATGGAGAAAATGAGCAACATCTTCAAAAAAAAAAAAAACATTGCCAAAAATTTATGGAGAGCCCTCGCTACCTAAAATTTGCACTTCATTATAATACAAAACTGTGTACTCAAAATGATTATAAGAAATCTAAATACAAATCATAGAATTTCGATTAAAGTTTGTCGAATTTTCCAAATTTTTGTACACACGGTTGGAAAATTTGACTTACATGGGTTTTGTCTCTTCCTTATTTATATTTACGCCAATGTATGTATGCCTAGTAGAAAAAGTTTCCGTAAAGAGATTTTGCTCTACAATATTAGTAATATTTTTCATAAAAAAAATATTTTTGTAATTTTTTTATAAAATTGTAGTTTATTCTATCATATAAACATTAGAATAGAACTTTAAAATGTTCATCAAAATTTCCATCTTTTTTGGTCAGAATTTTTTGGGCTATAATATTGTTCTTTGTGACAATGTCATGGTGCGTGCTACAAATCGTAGGAGACGCTCAGACAAACGCTAATATGTAGATTGTGTAAGCGCTGATCTATTATATTATTCAATCCCGTTAATTTTTGAGAATTTTTTCCACGATATTGTGCATGTTCTGACATATAAAAAAATTTCGAAAATACTTTATATAGAAGAAAATGCCTGACACCTTCAGAAAAATTTGAATGGACTATATAACGGCATATAAAAAAATTTTCTAAAGATTCTTTCGAAAAAGTTTGAAATTTTGCTGAAAATTTGGCAAATTTTTCCAAATTTTAGATAAAGTTTGAAACTAACATATATATAACTATATTTTTATAAGAAATAAACGAAAAAATTTTATTATGAAAAACGTTACCAATATTGTAAAACGAATCTCTGTACAACATTTTTTTCTTGTGGGTCTAGTATGTACTGTAAGGTACTTTTTAAATCGGTACCGAGTTTCGATCAATACTTGAAAATATCGACTCAGCACATCACTAAAAATAAAGTGAAAAATATTTACCAAATATGAATTATTTATTTATTACAGATCGGTTTACAATTTTAAGGTCATCGAGCTTTTAAAGTATTTTCAAGTGACGATCAGTCACGATGGGATATAGCTTTTACTAGGGAGCCATATTAAATATATAGAAAGTTTTTAAAAAGCTTCTCCCGGGTTATACATTTTTGTGGTGACTGTGACGATCATAGAGAGGTTTTGCTCTGCGCGCATTTCTAAATATACAATCTATAGAAAGCTTTAAAAGCTTCAACTTGGGGGTATCTTTTCGTCACAAATGATATAATACATATACAGAAAGCTTAAAAAGCTCTGACGGCGGGGTGATTTTGTGGTTTTTGTTTTCCAGTTTTTTCTGTCATGCCACTAGATCACAGTTGGTTGCTTTATAAGCATGCGTACAGGTCTTATTTAAGCTCCCTGTTAATCCTACGTAGAAGGACGCCGAATAAAAGCTCTATGTGGCTCTAGATCAGTGAAGCTCAGAGAGAGCTTTGAAGATTTCCGACCGGGGCGCTGTTTTGAGCATCACTGCTCTAGATGACGGTTGGTAAATTCAAAGGCAGACGAAACCTGTTAAATATTTTTATACTTTCTATAATACTTAAGTCATCACGATAAAAACATATCTCGCTGGAGAAGGTTTTTAAAGTTTTGAATAGGTTTTATAAAGTTTAATTCCGAATAAAAGCTCTCTCTGATAGTTACTTCTTTATATATAGTGGTGAAGTGCAACGTGTAGGGTATTTTTTAAGCTTTCTTATATTTTGCATAGACGCATGCAGCGTAAAAGCTCTGTGAATCGCTGTTCTAGATCAGTTAGGACAAAACTAGCTTTATATGGTTATCACTACTCTCCCACTTCGAATTTATACATTCGTATATATATGGTGTCTATGTATGTATTTTTCACATTTATAAGGTGGGGAGGTAAAGCAATTCGATTGTTTTCGTTTTCTAATTTATAACCGAAGATTTGAAGGCACACAAATCTTTCCACATATTGGATTTTCTAGGCACCCCATTTCGTTAAAAGGTCTTTACCGACTTATATACAATACAACTAATTTATTCATGCGTTTGTCCCTAAACTTTGTCACAGTAAATTACAGCTACTGTCATTATTCCGGTAATTCGTCTTAGTTTAACTTAACCTATCACTCAACGCTTAAAAACTAATCGAACTTTTCTTGGTTTGGCATACAAATAAAGAATTTTGAACACCAAAGATTAATCGCTTGTGACAGACCGGTCAGCCATTTCACTGGTCGATGTATGGTTAGGTAGTAGATGGGAATGCCGGAGAGTATAATGGTAGTGCCTACACCCACTTCGATGGGTGACTGGAAAACGGATGAGATCACAAGAAAGAGACACGTCAGCAGATAAATGATTGGTAGGGCGAGGCTGACGCGAATGGGACGTTCTGTTTTCGGTTGCTTATAACGCAACCATAGCAAGCCCGACACGGAGAGTAGCGTGAAGAGCGCTTCCACATAGCTGACATAGTTGATGAGCGAATATACGTCCTTGATGAACAGCAGCACTAAGGTGATGACGCACTGCGGAAGAGCGTTCAAAAATTACAGCAAATAAAAACTAATAAATAATTTGCACACTCACCAGAAATATCAGCGATGGCACAGGCGTCAAACAATTCACATTGATGAGTGAAATCGCCGCAGGCAAATGACCATTTCGTGCACCGACAAAAAAGAGACGCGAAGAGGCAAATATGGCACCGTTTAATGAACCAAAAGTCGAGCAGGCGACAAAGAACGGCATGAGCCAGGACATGAAGCCGAGCATTTTATCGCCAAAAGTCACAGCGACTGCGTCCGAAGACAACATCTCGTCTGGCGAGAGCACCGAAAAATAGGAAACATTTGTCACCACATAGATTAGCGTCACCACCGGCATGGAGATGCATATGGCACGTGGCAGATTCTTGTATGGATCCTTTAGCTCTTCTGTGACAAAATTCAAATAATTCCAGCCAGAGTACGAGAAGAGACCATTGTAGAAAGCGAGCGCTATTAAACCGGGTGCAGTGAAGGTGCCACGCATTGGTTCATCCCACTGATCTGTGTGGCCGGCGAAGAGATACCATGCGCCAGCAGCGACTATCACAAGCAATGCGAATACCTTGGTGCCGGTAAAGATGTCGGTGACACGCGTCACCCAACGTACGTTGTAGCAATTGATGACTGTCAGAATACCTGAGCGAGAAAAGAAGTACAAACAAAAATTTTTTAAATCTTCTCATACTTAGTTATTTGGGAGTGCGGAATATACGAAATCTTACATGTCATCACGGCTGCCAACAGTTGTACCGCCGCTATGGGCGCATCGCATGACGGCCAAAATGGTTGCAGCAAATATTGTGCGAATGTGAGCGCTGTTATGGCATTTCCAGTTGGTACGAGTACAAGCAGCGCTACCCAGAGATATAAGAAAGCGGGCAGTGGACCAAACGCTGTGCCGATGTAAGCATAATCGCCGCCAGATTTGGGGATCATTGTACCTGAAATAGAGGCAGAAAGTAGAAAATTAATAAAAATCGAAAAAAACCTCGTGTGTCGCATATTTCCCCCCACCGTAGATCCGGCCCTGGTAATTAAGTTATGAACACCATTTGCCGCACTCTCCGTATGTACTCGTAGTTGGCAACGCATAACAACCTTGTAAAGAGATGCCATCTAAGAGCATTTTAGCAAAAAATAAGGCAGTGCGCTCTTAAGCTCTTACAGTCTATTAAGCGCAGTGTGCAAATATAATAACAATGTGTGTTTGTCTATATACTTATAAATAAGTTCAAATACTATGTGTAAACAAAAATATAGCCACAAAAAGCCGGCACTAGTAAAAACTCCAAATTCCTGCGACGACTTAAAAATTTAGAAAAACAGATGTGTATAGTAACAATTTTTTATTTTCTTTTTATACCCGAGCGCACTTGTGCACAAGGGTATTATTACTTTGTTCACATAGCGGTCGTTTGTAACAGTTTAAAAGAATAGAGTTAGATGTATGTACATAGACATATCGCTAGCTTAGAGTGAAAAGTTGCTAAGTCCCAATTTAAAAATTTTACAGGCGAGGAATAACTTTTTATGACCATTTTCTTCAAGTATTTCGCAAAACTTTTAATACACAATTTTGCCTGTTTAAAGCAAAACTCCATACGAATCAGAGGGATTCGATCTTTATTAAAAGATTTCGTACGTTTTTGGCCTTATCGAATTTTCGGAGCATCCTTTGGACTTAGCAAATTTTCCTTTCAGTGAATATAAACGAGAAACTATAAAATAAGGTCCTTTAACCCTTTCGAAATGATAACTTTTTTTTTAATTTCTATAGCCTCCTGTATCAAAATATAGTTTTCATAGAAAGTTGACTTAGTAACTTTCACTCTAAATTAAAAAAAAAAACGAAACACATTCAACAAAAAAATAACAATTTCAAAAATCAACGGAATTTTTTACCAACTTGAAACTTGTACTTCATTATATTACAAAACTTTATATCAAAAGATTGTGATTAAAAATTTGTATAGTTATTGTACAAACCGCCGTAATTACCAATAGAGTCGACTTTATTTCGACTATGAATTTGTCCCATGGTTTTTATTGTATAACCAGGGGCCTATTTCATAAAGCGACAGTGATAATTTTGTAAATACAGGCATTTTCCATGTTGTCAGTGACATTTCGACAGTTAGCTGGGTGTTTTGTTTCATAAAAATAATTGTCACCACCTCATAAATTCCATGAGAAATTCCATTGAAAAAGTGACAAATTGTCATTGTCGGGGTTTAAAATTGTCGCCAGTCATATTAAATTTCTTTGTAAATCATATGTAATAATTGCATTTGCATTATTTTAGTTTTAAGAAATTATTTAAAAGTGATCAAATGCGCGCATTTGCCATATAAACAAATTTACAAAACTCTCCTGTGAAAGGTTTCTGACGGAGCTATTTGGTTTTGTCGCTATTGTCGCGGCAACTTTGTCAGAGTGACAATTGTCAGCACAATTGTCAATACTATTTCATAATATCACTGTCGCTTTCCAAACATTTTCACAGTTGCCTACAAGCGTATATGAAACAGAAAAAAAGTCGCCGACAATTCTGGCAGTGAAATTTTATAGAAGAATCGACAATTGTCGCACCAGTCACTTTTATGAAATAGGCCCCAGCTAGAATTTTATAAACAAAAATAATAAAAATTAAATAAACAAAACATAAATAGTCAACACTAGTCAAAATATCGCACTCCCATGATTTTGTGTGTATGTAAATAAATATCAGTGGTGCTCAACGTCAGTCTATTCACTTTGTCTGATTGTGTTGAGGCAACTTTTCGTTGCCAACTCTTTTCGTTAACATATATGTTTTTTTTCTATTCCCCTACCAAATTAATACCAAGCCTTGAAGTGTTCTTGTTTTGGCAAAAATCAATTCACTATACAACAAAACCAAATTACTGTATTTATCTATGTATAAAAAGGAATTGATAGATTGATTATTTCAATTTCGTAATGACCTAAAAACATGCTAAACGGAAATTCCAATGCCTACCATATATGTGTATATTCATACATACATATCTACACACAATGCACATACAAACGTAGGCATTTGGCCACAAACTTTAAGGCTGATGTAAGTTCTTTGAAGTGGCATAGAGTACGTTGCATCATGCTTGGTGTCTTCAGTGTTATCTAAATATTTGGGTGTTTCTTAAATTTAACTCAATTCTACGCTCGCTCATACTTTTTACGGGACCACCGTGGTCGAGTGGCTAGAGGTGCGCACTACCACTCTGTAAGTCCAGGATTTGATCTCTGGTCCGAGCAACATCCCAACAAACAAAATTTTTTGTCTAATAGCGGTCGCCACTCGATAGGACTCGATGGTAAACCTCCATAAAAAAGCTTCTATTAAAACCATTTGCCGTCCTGAGATGGCGTAAGACTGTGTAGGTCCCTCCCAATTGTGTAACGACATCAAGGTGCACACCATAAATTAGAGGAGAAGCTCGGCCACGTACTAGCAAATGTGCAAGCGATAAAATTTTTGTTTTTGAGGTTCATAAACATTTCGCACATATGCCAATATATATGTAAGTAAATGTGCCGGTGGTGAGTTTCTGCTTAATCGTTTATAAATTTATTTAATTTTATCTAACAGTATTAGCTCTTTCGTTCGCGTGTGCCTCTGCAACTTGTCAATAAATTTATTGTTTATACCAGTATATATGTATGTAAATAGAGAACTGATCAATTTAAATGCTTTTTTCAGTTTTCTTGCTCACTTTTGTCGAGTGTTATGAGTTCGCTCATTTTTCGGTGTTGGAGTGGGAGTTGAGTTCAAACATAAATGTATTTGGATAAGTGATTGTTAATTAGGTAATTAGGCGTTATGTTGTTTTTAGTATTTCTTTATCAAATATTTGTTTCATTTAATACTTATTTATTTTGTTTTTGTTTCAATTGAGTTTTATAGCTGAATCATACATTCAAGAATTATCGGTGGTAAAACCCCTACAGCTGGAGGCAGACTCTATTAATTTCATTATCAGTAACGACATTCTTGGTGGCTTTGCAACTACGAGTACTTAGCATTAAAAACCAATCAGCATTAAAATATTTATTTATTTTACTTTATATAATTACGTTTATCTTGCGTTCTCTGTTGAGTTTATTTACAATGAGTAAAGCCACGTCAAGTGTACCACAAAAGATACGCTAAGTTACGGATTTTTGAAAACTTGTAATGCTGACATATACAATTGTAAATATTTTGAAAAAAAATCCCATATTTTTTTCATCATTTCATTGACAGTTTCATATATTTTAAAGTATGCCAAAATTTAAAAAATAATTCACCCGAAACTACAATCGTTAAAAAATTTTGAACATTTTCGAAACAATTGATAGCGACCAACTTTTTTTAGCTTATTAAAGGTAAATAATCGATTGATGATAGTTACTTTTTTATAATAGTGTGCATAATATGTTATTGTTAACTGAAAAAAATGTTATTGTGAAAAAATGATTGGGAAAATATTTACTTACAACAATTTGACGTTGTTGTTTTTGTATGAGAAACTGTAAATACTAAAATATAAGTGTGCTAAATTTCATCTATCTATTTTTTTTAGGAGTTAATTTTTTAAATTTTAATTTAGTAGGAATTATTATTTTTTTTATTTAGTAGGAATTAATTTTTAAAATTTTTTCATGCTCTTAAATATAATTGTCAATAACATATAGCATGAACAAGCATCCGCAGACACCATTTTTACAAAAATCCTTTACCAATGAAATTTTTGTGCAACACTTGACGTGGTCTTGCGCACTATTCACTCAAAATTATGTAAAGTTAGTTAAGCAAACTCATTCAACTTATTGCTTTTTAAAACCGAATATTTTTTATTTGACCTTGAAATACTTGTAAGTAGGCCTGTTATTTTTATTATGAAGCAATTTTTAGGCATATACCATTTATAGATGCAGATATATATGTAGGTATATACATACATACCTACATATGTGTGTACATGTTTTTTTTTTTAATATTTTAAACTGGGTTTGTATCTAGTTTATTTATATTTTTTTCTGGAACTAGAACATCCACTGCAGAAAATTACGTAAAAAATTAAAAGAAACCCGAACGAATATCTTTCTTTGGCAGGCCTGTTCACGGCAAACATAAACAGCTAAATGAATTCGAACAAACTTTGCCCAAGAAATTTTGACTTTGCAATCCCACATCTGGTTGGTTCGAAGGCAGTAATTAGCCACAGAAGATTTGAAAGTTAATCAAAGTAAGTTAAGTAGATAAAATTATCGCGATCTCATAGCGTCCTGGTGCTTGGATATAAAAGTCGATTGTGAGAGAATAGCCCATATTTAGAGCAATGCTCATATATACAAAGAAGCTGAAAAAACGTGCTATGCTCAAAAAATATTTGGCACACATTTAATTGCTTATCTGGATACATTAGGGTGCATCACTCCCTCTACAAAAAAAAGTGGTACTGTTTTTCCAACGGATTTGTAAAAAATATTATGTTCTGAGACCTCTGCCAAAAAATGTTGGAAAAATATTAAGAGTTACGCGAGCAAAACCGATTTGAAAATACCCCAAAAAATCAAGTTTTTTTATAAACAAATTCAGTTTTTAAAATTTTTTTCTCCAAAAATCACCTCAGATGATAGAAGAGCTTAAGCTGAAAAGGTCTGCATACAATTTAAAAAAAAATTTCAACGTTCCCCTTTAGGCAAACCTATGTATGTATATATTTTTCCGAAATATTTTGGCGAATGTCTAAAAATAGAACAAATTTTATAGTTCCGGTGGAAAGCCCCCAACACTTTTTTGGTGAGGCACCCTAATATATGTACATATCTGGTTAATAAATACATAAACGTTATTTTTTTACATTCATCATTACTCACCCAATTCTGCATAGCAAAGCGCGCCAACCATACTCAATGCGCCGCATAAAATCCAAACGATCAACGATTGACCAATCGAACCTGAGTAGAGCAGCACACCTTTGGGACTGACGAAAATACCGGCGCCAACAATGACGCCCACAATAATTGCCACACCATCAAGCAGGCCAATTTGTTTTTTAAGCTTTACACCTGAACCTTGACTGGAACTATCTGTTGAGAGATTATGTTGTGCGCCCACATCCGCAATCGAATTGACGGGTGTATCGAAGAGGGGGCGCGGAGTTACATTATCACCAGGCTGTATGCGAGCCATTGTGTTGTGTTGAGAGTTTGTGAGCGTGTTTTGTGTGAGACTTCCGATTGTGCTGCCTGCTAACTCAATTAGAGGCAAGAAAATTGGAAAATGTAGGATGTGTGATGTTCGTTGAGCGTTGCTGCTCAAGGTATGAGCTGGGAATAAGGGTTGTTTTGTATAGGATTTGAGTTAGATTTTTCGGTTTCGAAGGTGCTTAAGCTCTTAAGGGTGTAAAAAAGGAAGATTGTACGCATGCGCAGGAATGCTGTTTGCTTCTTTTCTTTGGGGGTTTGAAGATTTTGGTTTACTTTCTAATTATGTTTTTATATAGTTTCACTAATCTCCGTGTTTGTTGTTAGCAATCACAGCGGTGTATTGCATCAGCCGCGCGAGTTGTATACACATAAGCACTCTTTTTCACGCTCACGCTGACGCTTGTGCCCCCTGTTTGCCTTGTTTATGGCCGTTAAATAGCAATTTTTTCTTTTGCTTCTTAGCTTTGCTAGTTCTTTTGGTATTTTATTTGTTCGTTTATTTTCAGATAGTTTGTTTTTTCGCATGTGTCATTTAAATTCACTACTACTATTCCCGCTTCACATTAACTGCTGGGTTGAGGCAGCGTGGCGCATTTACTCGCGTACGCACACACCCCAGTGCGTTATCAGTTTGCCAACGTTGACGAAATTTGCATTTTGAATAACGAAAGCTGTTATTTACTAGTTTCACTGGCGCGCTCTTGAATACGATGAGCGGAATTGTCAGCAACGTTACAAAAACAAATGTATTTAAAGTAGGTACAAAAACAAAAAAAGAATATTTTTAAGGCGCGTTTTGCATACATATACCTAAGTATGTACATATAGCGCAAATGAGCCTTTTGTTGCTGGAATTCTTGCGGTTATTTGTTTTTTTTTTGTATTTTTATTTTTATATAATTTTTATATTTTATTCTACAAAAAAATTCTAGTTCAACGTGCACATGCTTTTGCAAGAAGCTTTGCTTTTTTAGCGCCGCAAAACTTTATTTTATTTTTTCGTCACTTTTATTTTGCGTTAACTTCACTCAAATTCTCTTACTTCAGCTCATGCTTGAGTGTACACGTGGTCGCGCTGCTTTTTAGTTCAAAGCTTAAGTCAAAAGTCTATTTAAACACCGGTTTGCAAATCTGCGAACATTTTCTTATATTCTTTTAGCATTAAATATTATTTTTGCATAGAAAATTATGTAGATATAAATTTTCCAAAAGTTCGTCCAACAATTCTTTCCACAAAAAAAAGTTCCAATGCAAAATATTCTGCTCTTGTTAAACTATTCCATATCAATCATTGTCTTAGCACGCCTAATGAGAAAAGAAAATCGCCTCTGACTTTGACTTTGACTTCGCTGCCACAGTTTTCACGTCCATACAATTTGCGCGCTCAATTCATACTAAAAGAAAACTGGAAAAACATTCTGTTGTCTACCAAGCAAGCAATGCTTATATGCACAGCTGGCCGGTTGTTTCGAGCAGCTAAATACTTTGTCTGCCAGCCAAAGGTTGGTGGACGACGATACACCAAGCAGAATGTGGTGAATGTGTAGCAAAACGGCAGCACCAGCGCCAAACTTCAGCATACAAAACACAACACACCCGATCTGTCTGAGTAGATAAACATACCCTGCAGAAAAAATGATCAATTGATAAAAAATAACCAACTTGCAGTTAGCTTTTTTGGAGGATTTCGATGAATAGCTGACTTTTAATTAGCTATGACAAACTAACTTAAAGTGAGCTGTAAAGTCATGCAGGAGTCACGCAGACGTAATCTGGAGTTTGTTTCCTTTAAAGAAGTTTCTATTTCGTCGATGTTTTTGCAAAACCACCCATCGACCAATTGCAAAACGGCACTAATATTTTACAGGAGAGCGAAAAAACGGTTTATTCTTTGAAGACATTGCCTTGATAGGCGGTATTTTCTCTAGCTATTATTTTAAAAATCTGTGGTTTTAGTACCGATTTTTATGCATAAATCCCGATGCCTGGAGTTCAGAGTTACCAAATCTCATTTTTGCCACAACGGCGATTTAGTCGGTTTTACAACTGGTCGATGGGCGGTTTTGCAAAAACATCGACGATTTAAATATCCTCATACAAAAATTACTTTGAATACACTTTTTTCTGCACTTCTCAAATGCTTTTTCGAATTCAGGACAGATAAAATAAAGATCAAAATTTTATATTATCATTTTGAGGTTATGTCTGACGGAATTCAAATATGGGACTACCTACAGCAGAATATATAAACAAATATGTAATGCTAAATAAGTTAATAAAAAAGGTAAACAAATTATAAAAAAAAATTTCTTTATTTATATTTTATGTCCAAACGTAGTTCCTTACAAGTTAGTTGACACCTAATGCAGAGATCTGACCAACGCAATACAAATATAGTTAGCTTTCCTAAAAAACAATTATAGGTACATATAATAGTGACCCTTAGACATCCTTCCTAATCAACTTCAAGTTAACTTATAGATACATTTCCTGCAGGGTACAGACATACGTTACTAAATAACTCATAAAAGCCACATGAGGTCGCGGAATATGAGTGCAGCAACAAATGCAAAAATAAAGAGACGACACACCGGAACAACAGGCCATACAAATTTTCTTAGGCTTCTCAAGTACTCCACGCATTATTCTACACATTCTGACTCATTTTGCTCATTCGCTTACTCACTCACGCACTCAATTGCTCAAAACAGTTTCTCCATTTAAGTCGTTTGCTTAACACATTTTTGGTGGCAGAACTTAAAGTTCTTATATGGACTTGGTATTTACAAAAAAAAAAGAAAATAAAATATGTATAAAGCTTTATTACCTGTACGTTGACGTGATACTCGTATTTGAAAACTACACAATTTTGTTGCAAGCTCGCCGATTTTTATGATTATTCAAAGCTTTTGAGCATGTGTTGTGTTAAAAATTCTGAGATTTGTGGATTCAGTTTTATAGATCTTCCAATAGTTTACGAATTCGTCAAATTTTTTTTTTGAAGCTCGCTACATCCTTTTGAATTTATGGCGCCAGTTGTCTTTGACACTCCGTGACGCAATTTTTATTTCTGTGGGAAAGTGGTGGCCACCCCTAAACTCAATACATTTTACATTTTCGTCTCTTTTATTTATTGATTTTGCCCGACTCCAAAAGAGCACGCCAGTCGTTTCTCTTCTGTGCCAACTGACACCAATTGGAAATGTCAACTGAAGCCTGAGTCCTCCACTTGGTCTTTCCATCGCAGTAGGTGCCTCCCTCATCCTCTGCTATCACCAGCGGTTTCCGAGTTACTACTTACTATGTAAGCCTAAGATTACTTTTACTTGGGCAACCACAAAGTAAAGCTGTAGTTCGTCTCCACAGAAAGTCTCATTTTACAAGTATGGTAAATTAGTTAGCAGTTTCCTGTCAGGCATACATTGATAATTCTTAGGTCCTCCCGGCTAATATTAAGCAATCGTTTAAAGGCTCCACAAAAGAGAGATATAAATCTTTTGACAGTCCACCTGCCTCTTTGCAAGCTCTACGGTGGATCTCTTGGATAGACCACAGAAAATCTTAGGGCCATTCAGGTCCTTTTGTTGCTATCAAAGCGCCCATGAGCTGTAGCCCACCGTAACGTAATCTTGTTTTTGATTTACAGTTTGTCCAGTACACTTTGCAAGGGCCTACTATTCTATACTCTAGTTGGTTCTGTTAGGTTAAAACACTTTCCATCAAGTCGCTAATTGAAATGTTACTGATAATTTTCAGATTAGCCCCTCAGCCTATTTGATGGCAATTTTTTCCATCTGATTTCTAATCTTCACCTTTGAAAAATTATCACCGGATAGGGAGCAGTTGGTGTTGCTTCTGTCCTCCTGCGGCTCACTATACAACGGATGGCCCTCATTTAAGCTCAGCGAGCACTGGGTAAATACTAGAAAATACGTAATTGAAAGAACCTCTCGGCCTAGGGTGGGTCGGGTGCGGTCAAAGGAGCTGGATTTTCTTGCAAAGTCTTATGCGATTGGTACTTACGCGGTAAGATTGGGAATGCTACCTGATCCCTTGTGTCTTAGCTGTCAGGAGCATGATGAGGTGGAATCATCTCAGCACTATCTATTGGATTGCCCAGCCTTCGCGAGGCTTAGATGGAAACATTGTGTCTCGCACTTTCTGACAACTTCGGAGGAGTTCTGTGGCATTGAAATTAGCAGTATTTTTAATTTCGTAAACGGCTCGCTGCATTGCGCCGACAGAATAATTGGTCTCCGTTCAGTTTTCGTGGTGTCACAAAGGACAAAGTCTAAAATGTCCAGGAGCGTCATTTGCCTTGGCCAATTACTATAACATAACTTAACATATCGAATCTTCAAGATCTAACCGATTATTCTTAAGAGAAGTAATTTCTTAAACTAAAATTATGAATGAAACTAAAGCCAGTTACTATAATCTGTTTATTACTATGTACCTAGTAACCAATAAAAGTGATTTGTAGCTTATCAGTACATACTTGACTATCTGCTACCGTGGAAAAATCAGCTATCCGGTAAATTGTGCATTGACTTCTACGAGTGTCTGCTGCAATCTCAATTACTTTAAGAGCAATTAAGCGCTAATTAATAAATTAACACGAAGTGTCAGCTTATCAGCGCATAATTTACAATCAAAGGCGACAGCATATTGTGTTCTATAACAAATACCAACATGTTGATGTTCTGTAGATATGTACACATATATGTATGTAAATATATTCAAAGCACTTTTTAGCATAGTCAGATAAGAAGGCATTTAATCTGAGTGAACAGTTGTGCACCCACGAGTTGCATTTTTAATTTCATATATGTACATAAATAATTATTTTTCTATAGGGATCTTTTCATTAGCTCAATTATCTTTTTTTAATTTCGTTTCACCCATAACCGTCTTTGGTTTTCCGGACATGCTTTCCATTTGGCTCTTGTAAGTAAAACTACATTCACATGCAATATATATCACCCATGTACATACATATGTTTGTATGCACATTTTAACAAGTTTTTGGCCTCTTCCAACCGGTGTAAGCCTTCGCTATGGAATTTCTAATAGTTGCTGCACATGGCGGAATTGCAATTATGCAAAATGTTCAACGATTCGGTGCCTACAATTTTTTAGTTATTTATAGATAAAAACAAAAAAAAATAAAAAAATAGCCAAACTTGAATCGATATACCTGCAACACCTGCGCTGTGCTGTGCGCAAAAGAGGCGTCTCCGAATTTTGTACCGGTTTCATAGGTGTTAAATACCTGAAATCAAACTTAACTCGCTGCTACGTATGATAAAATGCGAGCTGCTTGTTTAAGTAAAGTTCCAGTTGTGATATTGTTAAATAAAATGCTTGAAGGAATGGCTACAAGAAAGTGCATTTGCTCGATTCACGATACATACTCGTATAATCTTATCACTGGCTTTTTCATAGCAGAAATAGAATTGGAGTTCAGCCATTGAATGTCGAAGGGTGACCAGTGCTGAAAAACTGTCTCGATCTGTTTTTTTATTCCGCGAGGAGCGAACCTGGACATACATACCTCCGACCACTTGGCTACGACAGTCATTATATTCAGTTGAAAATTATGTTAAGAAACTCTTAATTCCAGCCATAATCAAAATGATTTTACTAATCCGAGGTAGAGTTGGATAACTAGCGATGAAAGAGCTTATGCAGTATTGCGCCCTTAAATTGTACTCGTGGGCACGCACCCTTTGCCCAGACATGGGTGTCGAGACCGAATAACCGAATACGTACATGTCTAAGCCTTCGTAATCTGCGATATCGCTGAAGCTATCGTAGTCTGTTTTTCGTAAAATGTACGAAAATGTGATCACTGAATCCGAATTGCTACGAACATTTGCACACAGAGTGTATGCTTCGTTCGGATTCAGTGATAGCCCTGATAAGTCACCGTATGTCTATGTCTTAAAAAGCGCATGCAGTTCATCATTCCATTTTTCTAGCTCCCTGGAAGTTCCCAGGAGGTATGAGACTGGGCACGACATATGGAAAGCGTGCAAAATATGATTCCTTTGAAGGTTAGACCGCTTACAAAGGAATACAAGGTTTCAGAAGCACAAAGCCGTATTTACTTTTCCGAAGTTTTCGGTGCACCGAATTTGAATGTGAAGTCAGAATTTCTCTGCTGGATCCCGTTTAAAAGATATCCTAACCTAAAATTGCAAAAATAGATGTTTCTCCCTATATTTGAGGTTATGTAGCATTACAGAAAATTACTTGTTCCTAAAGCCATCAACGGCACCTTAAAGTATAACCCTTACCCGTAATTAAATACCTCAGTAGGTTGTCTCAGCAAACGCTAGACTAAAAATAACAAAATGGTTTAATAATAATAATAGATTGGCGCTTACGCATATGTTAGTGTTTGGCCGAGCTTCTCCTCCGATTTGTGGCGTGCGCCTTGATGTTGTCACACAAAGCGGAGGGACCTACAATTTTACGCCGACTCCGAAAGGCGATTGTATTTTTATGAGAAGCTGTTTTTCATTGCAGAAATACACTCAGAGGTTTGCCATTGCCTGCCGGGGGACGACCGCTGTTAAGAAAAACCCTTTTTTCTACATTTTTTTTTGCGAGAATAATACTAAATTGTTTATTTAGCCATTTTTTATATTAACGATTTTTTATGGCCCCCCGCCTTTGCATTTTTTGGTAATTATGTGAGACTCAAAAAAAATAGTTAATATTTAAAACTGGTTAAATAAAACATTGGGTATTATTCTTGAAGACTCTTATAGAGAGTGACTGCGTTTGCCGTTTGAAAAATATAGATTTTTAAGGATTC